TTCATTGATTAGCTCTAGTAGTTTTCTGGTGGCATCTTTAGGATTCTCTATGTATAGTATCATGTCATCTGCAAACAGTGACAGTTTTACTTCTTCTTTTCCAATTTGTATTCCTTTTATTTCTTTATCTTCTCTAATCGCCATAGCTAGGACTCCAAAACTATGTTGAATAATAGTGGTGAGAGTGGACATCCTTGTCTTGTTCCTGATCTTAGAGGAAATGGTTTCAGTTTTTCACCATTGAGAATGATGTTTGCTGTGGGTTTGTCATATATGGCCTTTATCATGTTGAGGTAGGTTCTCTCTATGCCCACTTTCTGGAGAGTTTTTATCATAAATGGGTGTTGAATTTTGTCAAAAGCTTTTTCTGCATCTATTGAGATGATCATATGGTTTGTATTCTTCATTTTGTTAATATGGTGTATCACATTGATTGATTTGCGTATATTGAAGAATCCTTGCATCCCTGGGATAAATCCCACTTGATCATGGTGTATGATCCTTTTAATGTGTTGCTGGATTCTGTTTGCTAGTATTTTGTTGAGAATTTTTGCATCTATATTCATCAGTGATATTGGTCTGTAATTTTCTTCTTTAGTAGTATCTTTGTTTGGTTTTGGTATCAGGGTGATGGTGGCCTCATAGAATGAGTTTGGGAGTTTTCCTTCCTCTGCAATTTTTTGGAAGAGTTTGAGAAGGATGGGTGTTTGCTCTTCTTAAATGTTTGATAGAATCCACCTGTGAAGCCATCTGGACCTGGACTTTTGTTTGTTGGAAGATTTTTAATCACAGTCTCAATTTCAGTGCTTGTGATTGGTCTGCTTATATTTTCTATTTCTTCCTGGTTCAGTCTCGGAAAGTTGTGCTTTTCTAAGAATTTGTCCATTTCTTCCAGGTTGTCCATTTTATGGGCATAGAGTTGCTTGTAGTAGTCTCTCATGATCCTTTGTATTTCTGCAGTGTCAGTTGTTACTTCTCCTTTTTCATTTCTAATTCTATTGATGTGAGTGTTCTCCCTTTTTTTCCTAATGAGTCTGGCTAATGGTTTATCAATTTTGTTTATCTTCTCAAAGAACCAGCTTTTAATTTTATTGATCTTTGCTATTGTTTTCTTTGTTTCTATTTCATTTATTTCTGCTCCCATCTTTATGATTTCTTTCCTTCTGCTAACTTTGGGGTTTGTTTGTTCTTCTTTCTCTAATTGCTTTAGGTGTAAGGTTAGGTCGTTTATTTGAGATGTTTCTTGTTTCTTGAGGTAAGATTGTATAGCTATGAACTTCCCTCTTAGAACTGCTTTTGCTGCATCCCATAGGTTTTGGGTCATTGTGTTTTCATTGTCATTTGTTTCTAGGTATTTTTTGATTGCCTTTTTGATTTCTTCAGTGTCTCTTGGTTATTTAGTAGTGTATATTGTTTAACCTCCATGTGTTTGTATTTTTTACAGATTTTTTTTCTGTAATTGATATCTAGTCTCATAGCATTGTGGTCAGAAAAGATACTTGATACGTTTTCAATTTTCTTAAATTTACCAAGGCTTGATTTGTGACCCAAGATACGATCTATCCTGGAGAATGTTCCATGAGCACTTGATAAGAAAGCGTATTCTGTTGTTTTTGGATGGAATGTCTATAAATATCAATTAAGTCCATCTTGTTTAATGTATCATTTAAAGCTTGTGTTTCCTTATTTATTTTCATTTTGGATCTGTCCAATGGTGAAAGTAGGGTGTTAACGTCCCCTACTATGATTGTGTTACTTTCGATTTCCCCTTTTATGGCTGTTAGCATTTGCCTTATGTATTGAGGTGCTCCTATGTTGGGTGCTTAAATATTTACAATTATTGTATCTTCTTCTTGGATTGATCCCTTGATCATTATGTAGTGTCCTTCTCTGTCTCTTGTGATAGTCTATTTTAAAGTCTATTTTGTCTGATATGAGAATTGCTACTCCAGCTTTCTTTTGATTTCCATTTGCATGGAATATCTTTATCCATCCCCTCACTTCCAGTCTGTATGTGTCCCTAGGTCTGAAGTGGGTCTCTTGTAGACAGCATATATACGGGTCTTGTTTTTGTATCCATTCAGCCAGTCTATGTCTTTTGGTTGGAGCATTTAATCCATTTACATTTAAGGTAGTTATCGATATGTATGTTCCTATTACCATTTTCTTAATTGTTTTGGGTTTGTTTTTGTAGGTCTTTTACTCTTGTGTTTCCTTCCTAGAAAAGTTCCTTTAGCTTTTGTCATAAGCTGGTTTGGTGGTGCTGAATTCTCTTAGCTTTTGCTTGTCTATAAAGCTTTTCATTTTCCGTCAAATCTGAATGAGATTCTTGCTGGATAGAGTAATCTTGGTTGTAGCTTTTTCCCGTTCATCACTTTAAATATGTCCTGCCACTCCCTTCTGGCTTGCAGTGTTTCTGCTGAAAGATCAGCTGATAACCTTATGGGGATTCCCTTGTATGTTATTTGTTGCTTTTCCCTTACTGCTTTTAATATTTTTTCTTTGTATTTAATTTTGATAGTTTGATTAATATGTGTCTTGGCATGTTTCTCCTTGGATTTATCCTGTATGGGACTCTCTGTGCTTCCTGGACTTGACTATTTCCTTTCCCATGTTAGGGAAGTTTTCAACTGTAATCTCTTCAAATATTTTCTCAGTCCCTTTCTTTTTCTCTTCTTCTTCTGGGACCCCTATAATTCAAATGTTGGTGCATTTAATGTTGTCCCAGAGGTCTCTGAGACTGTCTCAGTTCTTTTCATTCTTTTTCCTTTATTCTACTCTGTGGTAGTTATTTCCACTGTGTTATCTTCCAGGTCACTTATCTGTTTTTCTGCCTCAGTTATTCTGCTATTGATCCTTCTAGAGAATTTTTAATTTCATTTATTGTGTTGTTCATCATTGTTTGTTTGCTCTTTAGTTCTTCTAGGTCCTTGTGAAACGTTTCTTGTATTTTCTCCATTCTATTTCCAAGATTTTGGATCATCTTTACTATCATTACTCTGAATACTTTTTCAGGTAGACTGCCTAAGGAAATTTTTTTAATTAAATGGTTTATCCTTCCATTTTTTTTAATCTTAAGACATTTTTTTGCCATTCAAAAATATGTATGTGTGTGTATATATTTGTGTGTGTGTGTATATATATATATATACACACATATATACACACACACACACACACACACCTATTTGTATCCCTCCATTCTTAGAAAATGGGAGCATACTATATTGTTCTGCATCTGGATTTCATCACCTGCTGATTGTAGTATAGAGAGCTCTTCCTCGTTCTTTTCTTATAACTGTACACTTATTCCATTGTACTATAGTTTATTCCACCAGTTCCCAGTTAATGGATGTTTAAGTTGTTTGCAGTCTCTTGCTGTTAAAAATAGTCCTACAAAGACGAATGTACTGCATAGGTCTTTCTGTATTTTTGCTGGTATCTATGGGAGTCAGAAAAGTAAGTTTGCTGGGTCAAAAGGTGTGTTAATCCTGCTAGATGTAACAAATTCTCCTTTGTAGGGGTTATATACAATTTTGCATTCCCAGAAATGAGAGGGTCTTATTTCCTTCTCCACACTACTTTTCCCTGAGTATATTGTCAAGTTCTTGGACTCTTACTGGTGTTTCAGTGAGAAATATAGTTTTAATTTACATTTCCCTTAGTATGGGCATCTTTTCATATTCAAAGCAATTTATTTCTCTGTAAACTGTCCATTTTTTTAGCCTATTGTTCTACATAATAGTGGGTTTTTTTCCTCTTTATTTCTAATTTTAGAGGGTCTCTATATGGAAAGATAGTAAATATAAATTGTAAACATTTTTTATAGTCATTTGTCTTTTTGCCTTGCTCATCGTGTTTTTTGCCATTCAAAAGTTTTCATTTCTATGTAGTCTTATTTGTTACCCCTTTCCCCTTCTTGCTTGTGGATTTTTGAGTCATTTTTTGGTAATTTTTACCTGCTCCTTGGTTATAGCAGTTCACTCATCTTTTCTCTAGTAACTGTATGTTCTTACTTCCTTTCTTCTTTCTCTGTCTCTCTCTCTGCCTGTCTTTCTCTCTCTCTTTTCTTTCTGTGCATTTGTTCTGGTGTATGGTACAAAGTTTGGTTCCAATTTTCTTTTTCCATGTGTGTATCCGGTTATGCCAACATTTCATTTAAAAGTCTATCTTTCCTCATTGATTTTAGCTGCTCTTTTTGTTTTTTTGTTGTTTAATGTACATGTATATGTAATTGGATCTATTTATGGATTTTCTATTCTACTCCATTGGTCTGTATTCATGAGTCATTACAACATTGTTTTAATTGTATAAGCCTTATGTTTTAATATCTAGTAAGGTTAGCTTTCTTCGTTTTCGTTTTGTGTTTTTCTAGCTTATTTTTTTCTTGTTTTTCTTCCAAATAAACTTTATAATCAACTTGTCTTACTCTGATAAGAAAAAAACCTGATAGTATTTTTATTTGGACTGCATTAAATATATAGATTAATTTAGGGCATAACAGGTATTTTTGTGATGCTTAGTCTTTTCATCCAAGAAGATGCCTTTCCATTTGTTCAGTCCTACTTCCCTGTCTTCCAGGAATGTTTTATATAATTTTCCTCATACCGATTTTGGGTATATCTTGTAATTTTACATATATGTATTTACTTTATTTTTCGATATTGTGTTTATTATATCTTCTCTCTAGGTTTTATTTTGATCTGTGATATTGTTGAATTTTGTATGTTAATTTTATAACCTGTCACTTTACCAAGTCATTTCATTGTTCATTTTGCCATTGATTAGTTTGGGTTGTCTAGATGTATAATCGTATGAGATGAAAATTGAGAATTTTCTGAGCCTTTCCAAAGAATACAGAATTTTTCTAAGTTAACAATACATGGGCAGTGCAGGTGTGTTTCTGGAGATCACACTTAGCTGCTTAATGGTATATTGTAGATGTTCCAGTCTGTCATGTGCCATGATCTGTGTTAACCATATCATTTGTTTAATAACAGGAGTTAGAAAGGCAGAAACATATGTGTAGTGTGCTACAGCATAAGATGGATGAACTTAAAGAAGGCCTCCGACAAAGAGATGAGCTTATTGAGGTATGTACGTGAACTGTGGAAATACTTAATTTTGGAAAAAAATGCACTGAATTGGATGAAGGCATGTGTGTTGGGAGGGAAGGGAGTTAAAATGCCACAAACAAACTTGTCTCTTCACATTTGGCTGTACCCTAAAATCTTACAAACGTGAAACATGAAGGCAGGCTTAAAAAATTAATACTGTGAACCCTATAAATATTTCACCTTTTAATAGCAGAAGCTTTTATAATTGTCTTTTATTCCTAAGCCCATTGTTTCCTAAAGATATCTTAGGAAATGGGAAAAAGGAAACATTACAGAGTACCATGATTCTTTGGAATGTAGTGAATGCTATATATTTGGGGACATGATTCTTGGGGAATAAGAAGTTTGATCGTCGCTCAGGTAGGTGCATTTCTGAGATGGCTAAATGAAAAGAAGAAATTGTGTCTGGTAGTAGACAAAAGGTGAAGCTTGCCCGGGGCTGTGACTCAGGTTCCTGGGGTGGAGGAGCTCTGAGGGCCACAGCAACATCCTAGGAGAGAAGGAGGAGTGTGGGCCTCCAAGAAATCTTTGAAAGCATGTATCATCCTTTTGTGCCTGCCAGCTTGCATGCGTCTCTGTTTTTCTTTAAATGTGGTTTTCCTCTTGAGGTTGTCATTTTTTATAAATATGGGGTGACGTTTGTTGGGAAGGGGTCACGCTCACTTTCTTGGTGTGGTTATCAAGCACGTCTAATGTTAACTTAGTGTTGATCCCGTGGTGATATCAAGAAGGCAGCTTTTTTTTTTTAAATAATCTATTTCTGTTTCATTTTTTAAATTATTTTTAATTTTTTGGCTGCATCAGGTCTTCACTGCGGCACACAAGCTCTTTGTTGTGGCGCGTGGGCTTCTCTCTAGTTGTGGCACGCAGGTTTTCTCTCTCTAGTTGTGGCACGCAGGCTCCAGGGTGCATGGGCTCAGTAGTTGTGGCACGTGGGCTTAGTTGCCCCGGGCATGTGGGATCTTAGTATCCCGACCAGGGATCGAACCCATGTCCCCTGCATTGGAAGGCGGATTCTTTACCACTGGACCACCAGGGAAGTCCCAGAAAGGCCAGCTCTTGACAACCCCGGAGATGCCACATGCATCACGCTCAACTCAGCCCTGTCCCTCATCCTTTAGAACCACCGCCCCTTCCCTCCCTCTTTTTCTCTTCCCCCCATGGGCCTGCCTCACTTAATCTCTCCCCCTATAAATGACTTTAAAAACCATTTAATAGAAGAAAAGAAGTGACTCTTTTTGTAGATTTGTGTTACTTTTTTTGTCATTCTTGAGAATAATTGAATTGAACATAGCCTGCTGAAAGCAGATAGAATTTGTGAATTCTAAATGCAAACACAGATAACCCTTTGAAAATATCAGATTACGTGTGAAGTTAGTTGTCTTAGTTTTTCCATATATGGCAAGAAGCATATTATCCAAACTCTGTATCCTGCTGGCAGTTAAAAATCACGTGAATTCTTCTCCCTTTTTGTCGTCTTTTTTGTGTGTGTCAATATACCAGCCACTTGTTATTTCTTTTTCTAATTAAAATATGTGCTTTTCCCCATATGATTTCCAAAGAATAATAAAACTACTTTGGGAGCTGCTTCTCAAATTCAGTAACTTATGTTAGAATTGGTTAAGTGTTCTAGTTTTTAGTTTGTTGATTGCATTTAAGAGCTATTTTAATGCTTGATTTTTACAATTTGTCAGTGTGGTTTCCAATTTAAAAGCCCAGGGTGCTGGGTATATAAACTTTAAAAACCTTAGTTTTAAGGGTTTTTTTGTTTTTTGTTTTTTTGCGGTACGCGGGCCTCTCACTGCTGTGGCCTCTCCCGTTGCGGAGCACAGGCTCTGGACGCGCAGGCCAGCGGCCACGGCTCACGGGTTCAGCCACTCCGTGGCATGTGGGATCTTCCCAGACCGGGGCACAAACCCGTGTCCCCTGCATCGGCAGGCGGACTCTCAACCACTGCGCCACCAGGGAAGCCCTTAAGTATTTTTTATGTTTAGAATTAACATCCTTCAGATGTTAATATGCACATTTACTTATAACTGAAGAATCCTGACTATGCCAAAATAATGTTTTTTGGTCTTTAGAATGGAGAACCATGTTGTAAAGTAGATGTGAAATGTATGAGTAGGGAAA